TCTGTGCAACAGATAAACGTAATATGGATAAAATCAATAGGATATTCGTTTACAACAGTTCATTACCTATCCTAATACTCATTTGCAGGTGCAGTTTCTTCTTGTAGAAAAATTTTGAAAATATATAAATGAATGAATGAATGGATACGGCATTAATGTAGACCACAACGATATTCGAAATCCGGGTTTAAGTAACTAAGGGACAAGCTGTTAAACTGAGCCTGCAATTTCGTGAAAATAATATCACAATGCACATGCTTTTTACATCAAGTTATTAAATACAAATATAACAACATATTTGTTTACTTGATTTTTACGAATCAAAATAAAACTAATTAACACAACATGACATTAACTGCTAATTATAACAGCTCCTTCCATAGGCCAAAATAAGAGACGACGCCGCTCACCGGCGTCGCCAATAATATCAGTTTAGGCGATATAAAATTGCTCAAATCTCTAATGCCAGGAAAATGATAGCAACGGACCGCAGAGTAAAATGGTCTCTTTGTTAGGCAGGCGATTCTTTCAGTATACAAAGTCGCAGATATTCGTAAACAAAACGATTTTCTTGGGCTACCCGTCAATAGACCGTTCGTCTGATTTGTTGAAGATTCGTTTTGCAAATAGTTCGGAGGGTCTTCTTTACTTAATAAAAGACCAAAGCCCTAACTCAGACACACTTTCAGGCTGAATTACAAGTGGCATGGTATTTTTGTACCGGCAATTTGTTGTTTTTGTATATAAAGTGTATAAATATTCCTAAAAAAATAACACCATATTCTCGAGCAAACTGTTAACACAACATTTGTCTGATTCCGTTTCGGTGTCGTGTTTCTACATGGTGGATGAGAGGGTCTTGTTTGCACAAAACGAGGACCATAGCCCTAACCCAAGCAATATGTCCGGGAGATTTCCGCTTTTTTTTAAACGGGAATTTGTTCTTTCTGTATATGAAGTGTATACATTTTCGAAAAAAAACAACAAACAACATTCAGTTTGATTTACACATTGAAAGGGACTCCACTTGGATATGATGACATGACGGGAATATTTTTGTCGAGATTTATATACGACCCTTTTTAGGTTTTGACTAATAAATGCAAAAAAAAAAAATCAGATTTTTTTTAGGTTTTGACTACTAAATGCAAAAAAAAAATTCAGATTATTCGCTACTTCTCTTTTTCCCAGAAATATTATCTGAACTGTAACAAAAATACCTCCAATCTGGCAGTTAAGGTATTTGATGCCTAATGCAGAATTTCATTTTTGACGAGTATTCATGTTTAGTGAGAACACAGAGTTTCGATAAAGTGTGGGTCCAAACACCAGAAGAGGCAACTTTTTCTTCATTTTGTCCTATATTTTCTTCTTTTTGTTTGGCCAGATTTTGATTTTTTTCTAATTTGTTTTATATAAAATCTGAAATTAAGAAAAAGTTCTGTACATAATTGTTGCTGTGAATTATGTAAAATTGGATAGCGTAACTATTTAAAATGACTGTAATTGATAAATTTGTACTTGACAATTTTACCCAATGATCATGTTTTATTTAGGATCACTCAACATGTACAAGTATAGTTAGAAAAGCATAGTAACGTTATGCATGGAGTGGGATTTATAATTTGGTCGGAGGCAACTAGGTCGTCGTAAATTTAAACTAATTGTACTGAAATGCTGGTGTCAAATTAAATGACAAATGAGCAAAGCCTAATTTCATGGAAAAAGCTGAATCATTAATTTGATTTCAACTAATTCTCCTTTATCGCAACAATTTGATATAAAAAATACACTGCACTTAATTCTAGACACTCTGGTTTTAACTTCCATTTAATTTTTTCATCTGTTCTGTCAATAATCAAAAAGAATTCATGTATAACGTGCGTGTCTAACGTAAAGTAATATAAAAAACAATTATCCTCATTACAAAGACGTACAAATCAAATGCTTGTCAAACATTTTTTTTATTGACTTAAGGTTTTATTTTATTAATTTTTTTATTTACCAAGAACGACAATCATTGTGTAATTGTGCTACATTGCCTCTGAGACATGCCTATCAGCAAAATACCAAACCCCTCGTCAACGTTATAGATGTAAAATAGAGAGAAATACAGAATCCCTAAAGAACGCCCGACAAGACAAAATTGAAAATGTTGCAGGCTCGGTTTGATTGAACCTATTCATGGACAGTAATGGAAAGTAGAAGTTACCGTACACGCCTCCTAGCATCGGCTTAAGCCGAATTCAACATTTAATAATGGTAATGGTAGCATTTTGAATTTAGAAACATCTGCAGATGTGTTTATACGGCGGTTATCATGGAACCCTCAATGTGACACTCCCGTGTCATTCCATTAAAAGCGGAGTAAGATCCCCAAGTAAAAGAATGCGTGTGCCCTAAACGAGAAAATAATGGGCTGAACTAAATAAAATGGAAATTTTGAAAGGAGATCAAAGGTTATAAAGCCGCCTTCTACGATTTTGATCCATTATATTGACGCTGAATTGCAAAATTCATACATGAACACTCAATATACATGCCGTTTGAATTTTGATATTCTAGATTCTTGAAGTCCTCTTGTTTCCTTGTCCTATTAGTACAAATAAATTATAACCTTGGCTAAAGCACAAACGCTATGTTGAAATTTTGGCCTGCTCATCTTATTTGCAAGGCTGTCACCGGACACAGTGTCCCCTAACATATATCAAGAAAGACAAATCAACTACACGAAATCAGCAGGTAAAGGGTTAGAACACTCAATTTGAATCTGATTACCAACCGGTACATAGCACTTTTACAATGTGCTTTAAAAATTAACATCTTTATTCCTTATCGGGGAGATCAACAGCGTGTTTGCATGTTAATGGAAGCACATTTAGTCACAATTGATTGTGTAAATTGTTGTTACGTGACTTAATAACTTAATCTAAAACGGAGAATGTAATCGTTGACATCATTTGCTAAATCATAATAGAATTTAATACTGCTTGATTACTTTAAATTTGATTTTTGTTTTTGTTGTTCTTGCATTGGCTGTCCAATAAAAAGGCTCTCCGTGAAAATCATACAAATATTTATTATTAATTATTATGATAAAAATTGAATAAATTAAAGAACGCATTTCTTAAAGTTATTTATATTGTTCAACTAAAACACCCTTGCTAAACACTCACATTATGCTCATATTTTGAGTTCTCGAATTTAAAGGAAACTACTTTTTGTTTAGATTTCCTTTACGCATCTCACAGAAGGTATAGTTATATTGACAAAGGTTACAAGTTTGACATGCTGAAACATCTCGGGTTAGTGGTAATAGCGCGTACCATTAATAAATCGAGCTATTTAACACACACAGGGGTGGTTATACTATTTTAAATGATTAATATGACTTCTATTTAGAGATATAATGTAACACATTCTGTAGTATTTTTCATAATGTTTTATTTTAACAGTTTAGTGAATATAAATAATTATGTTGCTATATCTAAAAACAGTTTTGTTCACCCAAGAGAATGATAATACGCACAGGTAGATATACTCCCGGTAAGATATAGAGGATATTTGTTTGTTTGTGTGTAAGATGAAATTTTATTTCATCGAGTGGGCTTTAAAAACAGTATTCACACGAGTGGCGTAGCCACGAGTGAGAATACTGTTTTTAAAGTTCACGAGATGAAATAAAATTACATCTTACACAACAAACAAACAAATTTTCTTTTTATTTTATGCTAAAAAACAAGTTTAAACGAAATTTTCATAATATTAACATAAATATTAAAATCTGTTTCCCCATTGAGAGCCCCATTTCGTGCGAATTTCTCATTAAAAACAAGAAGTCTTGAGCTTAAAAATAAGTCCGACAATCAACGTTAAATGGCAGTGATATTATTTATTTTGTTTAAAAAATATGAATGATCGCTTGTTTTAATAATAAAAACAAACAATTCGTGTAGGAGAAAATTCCAACCATCCATCCATATTTCTGTTACTTACTGCGAATTTATATTAGACCTGGCTTTGTTAAATGTAAGCGGCAGCCATTTTTTAAAGTTGTGTATTTCACGGGAGGAAAATAATTGTGTTTGATTCTGAGGGATATCATTTGGAATTGTTAGTCATACACCTTTTTAAAGGAAAGAAAACATATTTAAGGATTGAAAAAGACAAAAAATAAGTGTTGACAGATGTGAAAACATGAAAACAGCAGCTATGAAAATGGAAGACTTGGAACTTGCTCGGAACGCTGGGTGGTTTACTTGTTCTACGAGCTGTAGCTGTCATTGCTTTTCAATATTTCATAAAACATACGGCAGTTATTACTCGTAGGATACTTTAATATGCCCAAATGTCATCAAGAGCAGTTTGCATGTGGAAGGAATGTATTTTTCAGACTGTAAAATTGAAACAAAAAATTTAGAGACGAAATTTGGTGATTGGAATTTGAATGAATAGAAGTAAGTTTTCTTCTTTTTATTACTTTTGACGTTTAAGGTATTTATCAATTTCAGCTTTGCTTTTTCTTTAAACAGCCTGACATTGTCAGAATTGTCAGCAAAAATAAAATTGAGGTACCACATGGGGAAAATCTTTAAAAAGTAGTTTCGTCATTGAAAAAAGTGAAATTATATTTTGATAATTTTCACTGTGAAATTACCAAATATAATTTTCACGGATAAATCAGTAATCCACTGAAAAGCATAAAATAAATCAACAACATTAAGTATTGACTGTGTGATTCCTTTTATTTCAAAACATACATAATACATCTTCATTATTTTGAAATAACCAAAAACCTTATCAATCAAATTCTTAATTTTCTACTATCAACTATTCTCTAAAAAAGAGTTTACATAGGAATCTTTTATCTTACCCATCATAGTTGTTTTAATATATATTTTTTCAATGACTTCAATAGAAGCGTTTTCACACTATTTAGCACACATTTTACACTAGATTCTGAGACATGCGTACGTATTTAACAGTAAACAATACTATATATGACAAACAAAGTAGAGAAACAATCAAACATATTCAGAAAAAAGTATCTATTTCACATAAACTTTCTTCTCATTTACAAAAACATGATAGTTCAAATTTCAAGAAAAGTATTCAACCTACTTTAATTTTGAGTTAGATTATGTTTTGGTTTTATCTTTTATTATAGGAATTAAAGGAAATAAGGTTCATATTGTATTGTTATTTAAAATAATCATATTAATTTATAACCGACATCAGCTTAAACTTGATTTAACTTAAATATAATTTAGATATCGATCGAGTTTATCTAATAAGGTCATAGTAATACAGACTTTGATTTTGTTTATTTTTATTTGGTCTAAATGCTATTGCTCCAGCACTTTGAGGTTTTCCTGTATTTCCTGTTATTATAGAAAGCGAACAAAAACATGATTTTATAACATTGTATTGTTTTTTATTTGTATTTGAATTAATTATGTTATAAAAAAACTGTATCATTTTAAACATGTTATTTTGAGAATATTAGGATTGGACTATAATGGGAATATCTTCAATTTTTAAAATTGATTTAAGCAATTGAAGCGTATTCGTATAAAATAGTTCTGAAATAATGTTGATAGAGTTCTAAGTGATTAGTTTGAATACTTAAAATTAATAACGAAACATTATAATGAATATAAGTAATAGAAAACATTATCATTTGCTTTATAGGGATATTTATTATATCTAACCATGTATCTTACACTTACATACAACATTCGTATACATATTTTAGTGTGTGTAAGATACTGAATACTATCATGGTATAACAGACTTTCAATTATGAACAAAATAAATAGCATAATTTTATGAATTGTATTATGAAACGCGTAGTTTATTTTTGTTGCTGTTGTTTGTTTGTATTCTGTATCAGAAAGTTTTAACATGAGAAGCATTCGTCACTTCGATAAGAAATAAATTGCAATCATTACAAATGTAAATGTTAAAATGGTTTCAATATAAATAAAGTAAATAGATAGCATAAAACACATCTTTTATGATAGGTTTTACGTATATTCGAAACACTTAGACTATAAATCACTCAATCATTACAATAAAATCAGACATATTTTTTAAATATACGAAACTAATAACAATGCACTTTCGGAGTTAATACGAGTGTATTCAAAATAAATGTATATAACATGTAGCAAGGCTTTGTCTATGACTGCGTAACGCCTTGTATTGTTGATCTGTTTTTGTAGCAAATAAGGAGTATCATATTAGCAGCATCTGTCTGAAAGGCTCTTTTAAAATTGCTGGAACTGTTATCGACAAAATTTTTTAAAAGATATGGCTACTGTAAGGCGGACCTTAACAGGGTGACATACTTGTTGAATAAAAGTTAACGTACTTTTTGTATTGAGTTCAAAAACAGATTATATAAAAATGATATGTTACAGTGTTAAGATAGGCGGGGCTTAACTTGAATATGCTTGTTAATTAAGTTAGCGCAATTTATTGTTTTGTGCTTAAAAGAAGATTATACAAATATGATATGTTGCAGTGCTAAGATAGTTTGCTTTTATCATAATTGCAATCATAAAGATGTGTACTGAATTTAGCCAGACTGTAACGTTTTCATTTCAAAACTGTTATTTGACATTTTTGTTGTTATATTCTATCGGAGCAAGTGGCATTTTCCCACTTTGTTTCAAAAGTTTGATTAAATAACTTAACAGAATATATATTCAACAGATACACTTACTGTTAATCAATCATACTTACCAGAAACATGCTAGGCATATAACATTACAACAAGTACGCATGTAACACCAAATTAAATGAAATCATGATGTAATGGATCTATCAGTATTCTTATCGTAACTTAACAACATTCCTGATTTAATTTTCATGTTACAGTTACATGTTGCATCAACAAGAGAATAAAACGATATTTTTCTCTGGTGTTATATGTAAAATTATCTGAATTTACAATAATCTATTAAAGAATGTTTAGAAGCAATGCAATCTTGATTGATAACCATCTACAAAAATGGGAAGAAATTGCGAATAGTTTTACAACTGCTATATAACATTTTTAAAGGACATAAAGGCTTCAGAAACACCTAAAATTTTCAATCGTTAAAAGGAACAAAAATTGAGTTTTGTGATATTTTAATATTAGAATGATTTACAATATGTTAGATGTTTATCACTGCTAGAAAATAGCATATACTGTGACGTTATTTGTCACATTTCTATACAAGTAGCAATATGTAAACAAATTTCAAAGTGGTATTTAACTTCCATACAAACTACCAACTTACTTGAGTGAACTTAATTCCGAAATGTCAGAGAAGCAAAGTATGATTCAGCTTCACGACAAAGAATTATGTTTTGGAATAATAAAAATAATTAGATGCAAAAAAATATTCGAGGGGAATTTGAATAATAAAGATAAACTTTTTTTATTTCTGAAATGCAAAACATTGGAACAGTCTCCACTCAAAACTGATGCGCCTTAAAGATTTGTGTATTTTCTGTTCATATACGTATGGGCATAATTTGTTTTCGTGATATTACAATGCGTTTGAGTTTAGAACGTTTCGTAATTTGAAAAGATGGTTTTCTTGCAATTGTAAAATTCACTTTAATAAATGTCATTATTGTAATATATTCATTGTTTATTTTAGTATGCACACACAATTTCAACATGCTTTTATTTAAACATGTTTATTATTTTATGTTTAAAAAACAAAACATGTTACTTAAATAATGCACTTCTATGGAATAATGATTATAAGCATGAGCATTTCGTACTTTAAGACTGCACAAAGAAAGAGTAGTATGCCATAACGAATTATCCCCCATAAACATTAGTGATTTCTTACATGATTCAAGTTAAAGCATCATTTATACAGATTAGCGGACACGATGTAAGAAAACAATCATAAAACATTTTGAGTCAGGACTTTAAGGTATGACTACCCTAACGGGCACAATAAGGAACTGGAAAATTGACATCATAGGTTAGATATATACCTTAAAGTACACCTGTATGCAAAATTTAAACAATTTTTACCGTACGGAAATCAAGTTATGATCACTTTTCTGAACTAAAGCTAGGGTGTTATGATGGCCTTTTTCAGAAATGATGAACCTTTAAATAATCTGCAATAAGATTCTAATGAAAACCGTTTTCCAATTATTTTGGTAAGAAACAAAAAGTACCATTCAGCGAATAATTCACGTAAGCAAAATTATGGTTCCTACTCAAAATTTATGAGCTGTGTGAAAATGTTAACCTACCCCATCCATTTTTAAAACGTGTTTGGTCATTTTCCTACTTAGGGAGCCTAGTTTAAAAAATTCTGTAAATTTACCCAAATTAGTGTCGGTTTTCAAAGTTTACCTAAATTTTTAAAGAAGTATATTTGTTGATCTTGTCAAATATTAAATACTTTTAACGTCTGGTTTTGATTTAATTACATTTTGAAAATATCAGGTACCATATTTATTACTAAATTTAGCACTATTTAGCCAACAAATACATATATAAATTAAATAATCAAAATTAAACACTTTTTTCATCCCAAAGGTGACATTAGAGATACATAAATTATGTTAAAAAAAATTTCCACGGCCCTCAGTTTCAATGAGGTGAACAGTAGTTCTAGCCCTTTTTGAATACTCTTCAAAGCAGAGGTAATGCATAAGGATGTTAATACCTTAACTTGTAAAACTTTCTTTCCATAAGTCTAACTTTTACACGCCATACACACGCAATAATATAATTGTTAACATGCAATAGACCGATTAAGGCAAATCTATGTTTCCGTGCTAATATCAAACTGGCATAATGATTTACAAAATGCAACTTTTTGAGGAACTTTCCGTTGCAACAATAATTTCAAAATATAAACTAAGTACCAAAATAGTTACAGCTCAGAATCGCTCACGTAAAGGAATATAAAAAACACACATGACTTAATATTTACTGAAAAAAAAAGAACATAAGTGTAAAATTGAAAACCCAATTGAATCAATTATGTTTAAACATGTACAACTCTATCGCCCCAAGCATCAACTTGTGCATTGTTCAATCTTCGAGAATGACCTAATAAAAATCAGTAATCTAGAAGGATCATAATAGCTATGCAAAGTGATATAAAAAATTAACGGCAAATTCTCAAAGAAGTGCGTGGCCAAAAGTTCCTGTATGTAGAGTCAAATCCTAATTGTCTTAACCTTTGAATGATAATAAACGAGAATAAATGCGTTGCCAATATTTGCATGTTGTGTCTTGTGTTTTTGTCACTAATAGAGTATAGCTAATACCAGATAAAAAAACATATCTGAAGGAATAATGCTCAGTTATAACTATCTGCCTACAGTATGTTTAGTGAGAATCTCATACAAATATACATATTTAATTATTATATATTCCTCTACTCTTTATTTTTAGAAAACCAGAAGCTTTTTTTATCACGTGTTTTTTTATTAAATTCACAAGTGCTTTTTAAAAGTAAACAGGCATCTATTTAATATATTTATATTGCGTTAGATAAAAACACCTAATCATAGGATCAGAGACATACGATAAACGTGTATGTTTACATTCTTTTGAAGGCCATGATTAGATAAAATGTTCTTGTATATTATCTGTTTTACATTACATCTGGCAAGTGTTTTTGCAAAGAACTACGGAATCCGATAAATTCCACATTTCACTTCATGTATGTAAATGCAACATGTTACGCGACTCAAAGTTTGAAAGACAACATTGTATTAAACCAAACGACCATATGCTATGTCATTCGATATTTCAGCGTTATATTGTTTTTTTATTGTATTTTTGAAATCAATGTTACAATACAAATGTGTGCCGACTGTCATTATCATGTGTTGTATGAAATTTTGCGTTCAGATAGAGCGAGACATTAATAGTTTTACATGTCCGAGTTCACATTTGCATGTTCGTCTGTCGCATTTATACGTCATATTGCCAAAACTAAAAATTTGCTGTGGTACGTACCGTATTTCATAGGTTTAAGTGGAGATTGAAGAACTCGATATTGTTGTTTGATTTAGATAGAACTGGTACCGTTTCTCTCCTAATATAAGCTTCTAATTCCTACCTTTCTATAAAAAGGACGATGAAGTATAAGATTGACTGTCAATGCAACATTACTGCTTGTTTTGCTTTTTATTTAACAACATTATATTAAATTTGTAGATGCATTAAGAAATGTTCTCTCTAACAATAATTCGCCAAGTTGGTGTTTAGCACGGTTTAAGGTGTTTGATATTAGAATAAATACACTATGAACTTTTCAGTTTTTGTTATGTAATCTTGAAGCATTCGTTCAAGTTGAACTGATAAGAAAGCAAATGAGATGATACTTCAGGCATTTTACGCTAATGTTTTGATAGTTGTGAGTTGAAAATAACATTGAAATTTATAAAAAAGAAGATAAATAAATAATTTAGGAATTTAAAACAGAATTGCCAGCTGAAGTTGTTTTCCGCCTCAAGTAGTATTTGGTTGTTTAGAACAGTCAAGATGTTTTTCTGAGACATTTTTAAGATTCTCGTTTGGAAGACAAATAAAACTTGATATAATGGAAAAAATAGTGAGATATCTATGTTTCTTATTACTATGTGTTCCAATTATGGAGGCAAAACGCTTAAAAGATAGATTTGATATCATGGAAAAACGAATGGATGTTGTTGAAATACAAATAAATGCTGATAGGGAACTTAAAAAAACGTGTGTGTCACTACAACAAAACTTCGAGGAACTTAGTGCTTCTGTGATTAATCTTAAGGATGAAGTGGCTCTTAAAATGGGGAAACAGACAGGAAAAGAGATGAAAACAGTTTCTGAAGAAACTGATGATATCTGCAAGGCCAGCCGAATGCTTGCTTCATTGGGGATTGAAAGGGAGAAGAAGTGGCTACGAGATCAAGTAGAAACGCTTACACATCTGATGAATGAACAAAATATCAGGATAGATGCAAAACTGAATCTGCTAGGTAGTTGTGAAGACAAGGCATCTGATTTAGAGATTATTTTGGCTAATATTAATAAAACTGTTCAAACAGAGCTTCGCAAAATGAATGAATCAATAACCAGGAATATAAAATTAATAGATCATCTTATATATCTCAAAATTCAGAGAACCGAAATGACCATAAATGCACAGAATCAAGAGATTGAAAATCTGAAAGAAATATTAGTCGCTAGTAGTAACGTTAATTCTACAACGTCAGCTACATTATCATGTCTGCCAGACTGGACACAATTCTCATCTCACTGTTACTTGCTCGTGAAGGAAAAAAAGTCATTCTTTGCTGCAAGCGCCCGCTGCCATCTCCTAGGAGCAACGTTAGCTGACTTTGAAAGCCGTGAAGCTAGCGCTTTTATCGTTGATAAATATCAAATCCAGCAAGACTTTTGGATTGGTTATTCCGATGAGAAGCAAGAAACTAAGTGGATTTCTGAAAGAACCGGACAACCGGCACAATACATGTATGTTTGCATAATAGTCTAAACTAGGCAACGAGTCTGTTATTCGAATATCTTTAAAAGTTATGTTTTGTTTATCAATGTTTTGTTTATCAATATTTGTATGTTATGTTAAAGCATCAAATAATGTATAGCGATTCATAATTGCTTTTAAAATATGAACAATCATAATTAGTTTAATCCTTCGTCCATGCAAATTGTTTTATATTATTGTTGTAAACACATCGCTAGCATTTACATATTTGACGTACATAGAGAACAGTAAAACATTTTTGTTCAATTGTATAACAAAGATACATCAATAATCGACATAGACATTAAATATTCATACAACCAAATGTATAAAATGTGACAGAGATCATACATTTGAAACAAACGAATCTTCTTCTCACGTTGGGCTTGCATTATAAGAGGAGTATAAATTCATGCTCCATTTTTATGTGTACTTGGTAGTCTTTTTGAAGGTTCCACGAATACTGCCGCATAAACATGTCTGTAGATGTTTCAAGATGAAAAAAATACATGTTTTTGTTATATGTTGAGTTCTGCTTAAATTAGCAAATGCTAGGGATGTAGACATCCGTAAACAGGCTCAATCAAACCGAGTCAGATCGATAAAGAAAAATATTCATAACTCCCCTTAAGGAGATATGACACACCTGGTACGTTTACATATTGATATTTTCAATATTGATCTGTAAGAATTCAAAACCTCAATTTTTTATCCTTAAGCGTGTAGAAAAGAAAAAAGCAATGTGTTGGCCAACTTCTAATGAAGTCATGACTCTAGATCAAGTCATTTTTTAGTTAGGCATGACAAAACTTGAAATTGTATATGTTTTCTTAGTGAAAGGCAAAGTCTTTACCAGCACTGAATAAATTTACAGGCAAGCCCCCAGGAACATAACACCACATAGTGATTAAGTTTCAAGACTTCCGCTCAAACACATTTTGTGTTATGCGCGACAAAAGTTGAAACTGCATATTTTTACTAAGTCAAGGACGATAACTCTTACTAAACTAAATTATTTTTCGCGTATTACACTAGGTGCACAACGTCACATGCGTATCAACATTACAATAAAAAATTTTTGACTCTAGCGCACGCACTTTTAATTGTACACATGACATAATATTTTGGGACGTTTTACTAAAGGCATTTGCTCTACAAATACTGTCTAAATACAAAAGCAATCCCCTAGGTGCACAACTTCACCTGCTGACCAACGTTGCTGTAAAGTTTCATGATTCTAGGTTAAGTTTTTCTTAAGGAGAAGGAGAAGAATTCTATAAGACTTGTCTTTCATTCTCATCCTTTTCCATTGTGTAAAAATGTTTTGTTTGTTATATATTTGTATGTACATTATATATACTTTCGGGAATAAATATGTTTAAACTAAAGGAAACAAAAGTTTAAAATTACAAATTTTACTAAGTCAGAAGTAATAACTCTTACAAAAATTAATTAATTCTCAAGCAAAATCCTAGTTGCACTACTTTACATGGTGATCAACATAACTGTACAGTTTTTTTACTCTACCGCAAAAACGTTAAGAGCTACATATGACTCAACATAGAACGCAGGCACGCACAAACACGCACCTACGTACGGACAAGAGTAAATCTTAATATCCCCTAAAGTGGGATACAAAAAGAAATCATTAAAATATAATTAACTGAAACCACATTTCTCATTTTTACTTGGACAAATTTATGAAAGAAAATTAAGTCGTATTTACCATTTCCGTTTGCCGTTTTACAAAAAAAATGATTTCAAAGTCACACTTTGTGTGGAATGTTGTGCCATCAACAAAGGCTAGTTTTCCCGTACATAAATAAATCATATTGATGTACTTAAATCGAAATTTCATTTTGCATTATATTTTCAATATGTTAAAACAATTATACGACAGCTGATTCATTTTTAAACAATGGTCTGAATGTGTCTGTGTATAATTTCAGCTGTTATGGCATATAATTAACGTTATTTATGAAATACACGTGTTTAACAAATGTTTCAGACAAATCGTAATGCTATATACCACTATCTATGTATCCTTATTTGAATTGTGTAAATTGTAAAGGATTATTTAAATGGACTTTTTTAGGGGAACCGTAAATGATCACATAGCTTTTACCTGTTAAAAATATTGGATTTTGAACCATTGAATAGTAGATTGGCCAATAGTAATTTACAAATGAATACAGCAATCTAAAAGGAAGGTTTTTGTTATACAATGTTACATGACATGAAAAAAATACTTATTTTGATTTAATTATCCTTTCCTTAGTTTAAACAACAGTTTTCTTTCCATGTTATAAAACATGTTATTTTGTTTCTATAAAATCAATTAAAATGTATGATGACTTTTCGCTTAAGATATGAAAGATCAAGATCACAAAGCAAGGGTGGCGTTCAACGAACGACCCAGCAACACGGGACAACAGGCAAAGAGCCTGTAAGTTTGATATAACATTATATTGTGCAACTTACATGTACATCTACAGTAACTATATGATTTGTATTATAGTTGTTTTCAGATAAATATTATACTTACAGGATCAGATTAAAAATCTACTGGGATCAGATTAAAAATCTACTTTCACCGACAGGAGTATCGTAAAGACAGTCTGTTCTTTTTTTCCATCTGCATTATTGAAAAATATAGACTCTTTCATTTAAGCGATAAACGTCGAGGAAGAAAATACTTCCCTTATCGGATGTGACGTAAATTGGGGATTATTCTATAGACCGCGTAAGATGTTAGCTTATTGGAAGTTAAATGCGTAAAAACTGATCGTTCAATTATGATTATAACATGAAGAAATTGACTTATGCATACATAAATATCATATCAAGACCATAAGAAATATACATAAATAAAGATTAAGATTAATTCTTGCTACGGTGTAAACTTGCAGAATTTCAAATTAAATTTTTTCTAATGCCAGGGCAAAAGGGTAGTAACTAAATAAATTTTTGATATTTTATGAACACCCATACACACTGAAAGTACTTAATGTAAATTTAAATGGTCATTTTCTACATTTCTGTGTGATTTCTTGTCATTTAGAACATTCCGGCGTTTTTTGTTTTTGTTTTCTTTTTATTGTGTGTGACAAACATGAAAATAAGATTGTCAATGTTTTTGAATGATTGTTGAACAGTAGCAGAATGCATTCTGCCAAGACTTATTGATTCTTTTTGATTATGTCTTATAAAAACTGAAGGATATAATTTTATAAACATGCCTGAAAGAACAAAAACCATCAGGCAATGACTTTTTTAACGTAAGATTCGTAACAAACGAATATAAAATAATTTTTATATTACAAATCTATTCTTATACTTTTAGGAGAACATTTCACAGTAACTTATTATATAAAGAAATATTTTTTTTATATTTAAGCGCCATTGTGCCGTACCATATTAATTAACAGGGTAAATATGTTGTTTATACTGGCGACTGTGATATCATAAATCACCAGTGTGCATATTTAAGAGTTAAAACATTACATCAGATTATGTCACATTTGTTAGTTGTCAAAATATTTATAATCTGAATTTGGTGATGGATCATTCTAGGGACTTAATTGATTATGCATTTGTACATTTAAAAGAATTATTTTTTATGCTTTAACATTTGTTTTGAAATTACATAGATTTATATTACTGCTTTTCGTTGATTCAGAAATGCTTAAGTCAAAATGATATTCATTCAACCAGTATCTTGCAATTATTTATTAACAGCCGTTTTTCGAAACTACAAAAACCTTACATTTTTGAAACTCGAAGAGCTCTTGGTTACTGTGCAAAAGCAAGTTAGTACGATTTAACTGCCTGCCATTTTATTCAATTTCACAAATGTTGACGATTTCAATCTACCTATCTTACACGAGTAAGGATTCAGGTCTTATATCCTTTTATTAATGTATTTAATCCTATCGGCAATGTCCACTGTCGGCAATGACGTCATCCAAATGAGACATTTTAAACCGGTCTTAAATGAAAGGGTCAATAATCAAGCGATAATGCAACTTATCGCCTCATTTTTGATTAACACGCGACAAGGTGAAAAAAATGGAAACACCACAGAATCTCGAACCCGGATCCTCGGAAATGTTCTGCTTTATTTTCAATATATGTTGTATGGTGAAAATGTTAAGTTAAGTTGTTTATTAATTTTATGTTTCAACGACAAACTGCAACAACAAATATAGGAGATGGATATATCATTTATTTCTCTTAATTGTTTTAATTATTAAATCATCCTCTTTATATAATGAAAGACATCCATTACGTATTAATTTAAATAATTTATACAATTACATAAAATATATATTATAAGCAAAGATCAAAAATACAAATTTATTTGCATAGAGTTCTTATTCTCTTAATTAAAACTTAGTTGGAAACATAGAAATATATTCATCGAAATGTGAAATCTTCATAAAAAGCCAAACAAACAAAAAACAAAACAAATGTGTTAATAATTAATATTATTTAATATACATAGAGTTATATTGTGTAGTTCTACAATATAAGTATACTTACATTGAGACCGACAATGTGGCATATAGGTACATTTCAATGACTTGATAAACATGTTTGATCAGGTCACCAGCTATAAACCACAAGATGAGGTGTATTTTGCTTTAAAACGACAAAACATACACTAATACAAGCAGCTTATATACACATTTGCCTTGTTTGTGGAAATCCGTGTTTTATTCTATATTTCAGTCTGAATGTGTATCAAATTTTCAACTGTTTGTTTATTTTCTTGCATCAACTCATAAACACTGTGCTTTTGTGCTGTACTATTAAAAAAAAACTCTTGTCACCTTTGCACAATGTACTTTTGTTTAAATCTATGTATTTTGCTCGAAATGTTTGATTTCTTTTAAACATATTTTACTAACATAAACGGAGGAGGGGGAGAAATCCACAGTTTCCAAAGCTTGTCAGCGAACAACTGACCACTTCAAAATCAAAACCAGACATATATATATTTTTAGTTTTCGAGCACATATAGTCCCGGTTTTTTTATTTAAAATATTTTTGTCGCGAAAATTAATGACAAAAACAGCAAACGACGTTGTATACCCTTTTTGAAGAAAAGGAAGAAAAGGAAAATATAACAACTTCAAAAATGAGAATTTCACATACTGCATTGTCTGTGCCTTCTTAAGCACTTTACTCTCTGAAAATAAAGTCCAAAGAAGGAGTTATGCACATCCTTTCACAATTTTAAGTCTTATGCATACCCTTAAAATTGAAAAGCTTATTTCCAACCTAGCTCGTAACTCATTCATTTGCATTTGACTGGTACTCCCTGAAAATGGTCAACACTACTGGAATCAATTTTAATAAATTACTAAAACACAATTCTAGCCACAAAAACTTGAAGTACTGTATCTTTAAATTTTAAGAAGCTCAAATACCCACTTCTATTTCAAAACCTTTAAATTTGACCCTGGTCAATTTGAAACTAAACGACCGACTCCCCGTTTACATAGACGCAAGTTATCTTCTTCCTGGCCAGTACTTAATCCGTCTCCAAGATGGTCAGAGTTTTTTAATCCATCGCCGGATACCCACGGCAGAATCATTAACAGGTATTAACCATTATCCAGTTGACTGTGTGTCAATTGCAGCTACGTATTTCATTGGTTGCCTCACGAACTCATTAAAAGTGTTGGTGTTTGTTGCATTTACCTACATTCATTTTCTAATGTGATCAGACATATTTTGGGGTGCGTGTTGCTTGTGGTTGCAGATCTAAAATAAATAGGCTGAGATTTCGGTGTTCGGTGAGTCCTAAGTCACAAACTGTAATGTGAAGCTACGTTAAATTAGTTTCTCATGATGTCCTTTAAATACACTTAGATTTACACTAAAGTGAGCGGGATATTTTATTTATACTGGAATATTTATTTACTTTAGGTGTTGATATTCTGTTTAATTTAGTTCTATTATAAGTATTTATACGAATTTTTTTTCATAAAAACTTTTCAATATATTTTTCAGAAACTTTGCAGACGGACAACCAAATGGAGGTATTGATCAGAATTGTGTTGGGTTTGGTGTTGGGAGCCCTTACGATGAATGGTATGACTTGCCATGTGAAGACGAGCATCCATATTTTTGTAAAAAAGGCGCGACGATAGTTAGAAGTTGAAGCAAGTTTAGTCGAGTGCCCTCCTAATAGAGTGCCGTTTGTTTCTAACAAAAGGCCGATACACTAATTAGAATAGATAGAGTGGTCCAGATGTATTTTAACGTCATTAATGTCATTTTCCATTTTAATCTTTTGGTTTAATAATTATATAAAACGATTAAACCAAAAGTAATATTTTAACTTTTAATTAGAAAATCTGAAGACCGCTTTAAAAATATGTAATGATCGAAAAAGTACAGCAATCATGACAAAAAGTATATGCTATACTGTATCAATATATAATATGTAAAATTTAATTTTACCTATCCCTGTCTTACGGACCCCACATGATTACTTCTGTTAATTGTGTGTCCGTTCATTTATCAGAGCCTCTTAAAATTCGGATAGTTTCCGATAAAGCAATGCTTGCTCTGGCACGCACCTGATCCACTCATTATTCCAAAGATCTTTTTTTTTACTTGTTTTGTACTAAAGGTATCAGATGTCTATTGCAAAATGTCCATTCTAAAAGGTATTCATTTTAATTGAGGACACTGGGTTCAAACCCTAGAAGAGGCAATTTGTTTTCAAGTTTTGTCTTTTTTCTTCTTATTAAAAAAAGTTTTTACCTTGGCCAGATATTCTTTTCTTATCTTTATTTAGAATCTCAAATTAAGAATAAATTCAAATTTGATGAACCTTTAACTTTTTACAGTAAATTGTGTGAAATTGGATAGAATAACAACTTAAAATGATGATAGTTTGAAATTTGCATGGTAAAGTATCTTTATATTTTTCACAAATGTTTAGATATATATCAAAAGAATCATTATTAAATAATATTTTGATGCCCCGATTTTATATGACAAAATTTTATAGGTTTTTCTACCCCACCGTCTTCTTATTTGATGTAAAATGAAAAGTGCCTGTCTCAATAATGCAAGAAGAATTTTTTTCATTGGCTTTATTTGTAGTAATTAAAACATTATGGATCATCATGAGTACTTTTCAACTAACAAATATACAAGGGGCAGGACGTGAATTGGTAGCACACTTGGTTCAAGCGAGCGAACTCGCTTGAACCAAGTGTGCTACCACTTTACGTCCTGCCCCTTGAATATATGAAAATAGCAACACTTTTCTTAAGATTTGTTGTTGTTGTTGTTGTATAAAACTGATACAATAGTTATACTTCAATTGTCAATATTTTTCAAACAAGATGGTAAAGTTTTGTAATATTTTTATTAATGTCCAGGATATGTAGTAAAGTTTATTTATATAAAGTTTAAAATGGCTTTTGAGAAAGTGTTAACCCTAAAATGGATTGTATGATTTACATGCACTTATGAATGAAAATGAGCGGCATCTGAAATTATCAGAAGAAGAGAGACCTTGTATATTTTGTCAAACAAGGTGGAAGCGGAGTACCATTTCCTCCTTATTTATCTACTTTAGTATATATTATCAAACATGGTAGAAGCGGGGTACCATTTCCTCCTTATTTATCTACTTTATAATAGTTTACGTTTAAGGTATTTAAATGAAAAGTTTTGTGTAGCACCATCATTACATAAATTTGATGTCTTAATGCCAAGCAATAATATCTCTGTTATAAATAGGAAATTTAGCGATGTGCATGAAAAACGAAATATTGAATTGGTATATGTGTTTATTGGTAACTTAAACATGAAATAATATACTGTTAACATGAATTTTTTATTGAATTAAGTAGCCACAAAACGTGTCTAGTCATTCACATTATGTATTATTTGAATGTACATTCTGTATAATGTGTATTGGCAGGTGGCCATATATCGGAAAATAAAAATATCAAAAATTTTATATTTAAAAAGAACTTAAACATTCAATCTATTATGTTGACGCTAATTCACGCGTCATATTATGTATAGTCTCTCTGATGAATGCCTATGACATGCGCACTTTTAAATTTCATGCAAATCCTTTATTGACGCATGTTTTTGATTGTTACAGTTATATACTACATTATTCATAATGTTTTCATATGATTTTTGATTTTTTCATATAACATAATTAAATTTGAGCATAATACCATAACTTAAATAGATAATAGATGGATCATTTTCATTTTATTTGATAAGCTTTATAAGATATACTGATTGATAGCGATGTTTCTAAAGTATTATCTCCCTTTTTACAATTTCAACATATGATTAAAGCACGTTTTTTTTTCGAAATTCTAAACTTTCACATAAGTAACTGTTATTTTCATACTTGTTGTAATTATTTACTAGCCTAGTTTCTCTATGAAAGTATATGTATTTTTTGATCCAGTTATTGTTTGTAATTCTTTTCGAAAATTATATAATTTATTATGCTATGTAAATTTACGTTGATACAAACATATGCACACGTTTTATTGTATTGTATTGTAATAGACGTTTTATCTTATTGTAATATTATAACGTTTCTTTTACGCGCCAAATGTGGCGCCTGTTAACGTAGACGTCTGTTTTGTACGTTTACGTCATTTCCTTTATGTACAATGTCAACTGACGAAGCTAATAAAGCGAAACATGTATTGATATTTAAATTTGTGTTGGTTTTTGATCTAATTGTCCAGTATTGCTCGTGTAAAACAAATATTGTAACATTTATGAATAAATTCGATCTTCGGGTTTGAATGTTGTGACGTTTTTTCCCACTAAAATAAATAATATTCATTTTAAAAGATATTTTACATAATTTATATACATGCATATCAATAATGAAAACTGAAAAAATGAAATACAGGTTTTCAGTATTTTTATGCCTGAGCGACGGAGAACTTCAGAGGCTTACGTCTGCAACTTATTTAAGATTGACCCAACTGCCTAAGAAAGGTCTATGTCATTCAATAAGCGATATAATAATGACTTATTTGGTTAGCATGTGGTGCATAATTAAACAATTAAATATTTCTGAAGGAGGCAATCTGATTTATTGGCAAATGTTTGATAGAGTCGTTTTTCAGACTTTCGATGAGCGACTTTGGATATTAAATAAAAGTTTCAAATACAAACCATTTTACATGCGTCCGAATCTCTAATGACGTGAAACTGCAGCATGACAATTTTTACACCGTAAAATTAAATGGGCAGACTGTTTAACCGTCGATAGCCGTACTAGTATATAAATGTCGGTGTAAAAAAAAACACAATTTATGATCGGTAGGTATTTATCTATTTTTAAGATATCCCAACTGTGTTTAAGTAAATAAATGTTATGGATTCATAGTCAATATTCAAAGGAGCATGCCCTGTGCAAGCTTTATTTTAAGTTAATTCTGTCTGAAAATAATCACACTTTCCAATGAGATAAGGCATTTTATGTCTGCTCATTTAATTGTACGATGTCAAAATTGTCTTGCTATAATGTGATAATGTTTTTAGACATTTAAATCATGTATACAATATAAAGCTGTTTACCTGTGAATTGTGCGAGACATACCCATTTTCCTACCAACTTTGCACAACATTTTATTAGTATTAGTGAAACATTTTTTGTAACAATAGCAGGGTTCTTTTATGTAATGATACAAGTTCTTTATCTGAGTGACCCCTGTGAGAGGCCAATATTGACCCATTTACCACGGTTTATAAAACTCGTGTTGACGTCAAAAAGGCATGCTTCATGTAAAATATCTAAACTTTAACAAAACATAAAATAATATTTGTGTGCATATGAAAATGTGTTACAATTACCTCCCTTTATTTAAAGCTTTTTAAAATTTAGAAATGCAATTGTAGTCATGGGCTTAACCTTTTAATGTAAACAATCAGCATTTCAAATAGAAAAAGACTTTAAGCATCATTTACAACTTTTTTATTTAGTGAATTTACAAACATGTGTTTAAAGTAACATCACTTTCAATGAAAATAGATTGTCTTATTTCAAAATTATTAAATCGAAAAACATTTAATCCTCTCAAATATTATTATCTACAGACATACAAAAAATCTACAACTATAAAGTTTGATAAAACAAAACAATTATAAAGTTACAGGTTTTGGGAAATAAAGTGAGGTCACATTTATATTGTGAAGAAACATATTTATTCTTCCATACCTTGTAATCTCCCTTTTGTAATATATACACTTATATAAGAAATGTGAATGAGTAAGATTGACCTTGACCTGAGGTAGTCCAAAACTGGGCTCGGTAATAAACACATTATTGTCAAATATATTTAAGTTTCTACTATCGTTCTAAAACAGAGAGGATACAGTTATTGTTATTGTTAATATTGATACAAAATGACTAAGTGTGACCTTGACTTGAGGAAGACCAAATCTGTGCTCTGCAAATTGTCTTACTGCGGTAAAACATTTTGCCAAGTAGTGTCAATTTCCTTTTCCACCGATTCAAAGATAATGACCAGACAAAAAAATCAAATCTAAGCCTATATAAATCAATTAATCACCGAGACGGGGCCGATTTTGATCTTATAAAGTGTGAACTTGTGCTCTGCAAACCATCTCAATTTTATTTATATTTCTGCAAAAAAGTTTTAAATACTTTCTATCGGTTCAAAAGATATAGAAAGAACACAAAATTTTGATATTGTTACAAAATTGTTACAATCAAACCGGTTTTATATAAGCATTAGATGAATCAAAGTTATTAAAAAACCATTATCCGTGGAAGTTAAACAAAATGGTTATTTTTGAAACAAATGTTTGAAGTAATTTTTTACAAATAAACTTGAAATAATAGAGTCGATTTTTAATGAGCACGATTGTTTTACCAGTTTACCTGCCGGCTATATGGACAACGCCAGGTTTGTTCCCGAAATCGTGAAAATTACCTACTCCATATTGGTTTTGCCAGGGTTAAAATTAGTAACCAGATCGCTTCCAAAGTTATGAAAGCTCACCGATGTTTTGCTGTGTAGAAGGTCACCGGAAATGACTTCGTATTTTGGTCATGGTCATATCTGAAAGTGGAGCGTTATTTAGAGCTGAAATAAAAAATAAGATTGAATCACGGATTTTTATTACAATTATGTCAATTAAAGTCCGTGATTCAATATATGTCGAAATTTTTTGGGCGTATAAAATGTATCCGTGGAATGTTATTGTTTCCTTTCATAAGGTAGCTCCGTGTCTTGACAAAACATACTCATTTCAGCTCGTCTTTTTTTCTTTGTATTTGAAGGTCAATTTAATGAATTTTCTTTTTTTTTTTCATTTTTATTCTTCTACTTTTTTATTTCATTTCATTATTTATTTATTTATTTATTTATTTATTTATTTATTCATTTATTAATTTATTTATTTATCCATTTATTTATTTATGTATGTATATGCTTTAACTGCTTATAGCATAATTATAAATGATTGAATTGGCTTCATATTTTAACACAACATTTTAAGGATAATACCTTCATGTATATTAATAAACTCAAATTGACCTTGGTTCATTTTTCGACCTTTAATAAAATTAAATTATTGAATTTTCACTAATTTTTGCTATACTTGACAGTAACTCAGGAATTTATACATAGATTATATTCATACTATGACAGAATTTTTTTTTGCACAAGACCTTCTTACAAAAATGAATTGACCAATGGCCCTGAGCTTCAAATAGCCTTGACCGTGAGGTTAAAGTATCGAAGTTTTGTTTTATTGTCAAAATTTTGTAATTATGTACTGATTTGATTCATACTTGGACAACACAATACTACCAAACAAGTGTATTGAATAATTAAGATGTGACCTTGACCTTAGATTGACCTTTACTGCCACATTGAAATTAATGCGATTCTTTTAGTTTTGGTTCTGTTACTGGCTATCCCTTTGTTATTTATTAATGAATTAACTTCATATTTAAACTCAAAATCTTTTAGATCAGGAGATTAATGTAGATTAAACTCAATTTGACATTGACTCATGCATGATATTGACTGTCGAGTTATAAAACTCTTAAATAATTATCGCTAATATTGGCTGTAACTTGGTAATTTATTAATGGATAACTCTCATACTTCAACAAAAT